TCCAAAAAGATTGTGCCATTTTATTCCCCCATCAGTGGCATATGAGTGTGAGCAATGTTCTCTTTATGCAGTATTTGACTGGAACAGTTTGAATATATTCATTTTTGTTTACTTTGGTAACTACAAGCCCCAGCCCAGAGTGAGACTCTCACTTCTCATGGAAATAAGGGGCTGATTGGGTCGGTGGGACCCAGAGGAGAAATACAACTCAAGTTGCCATATAGGGTCATAGAAAGTGGGAGACAGTGGGAAACAAGGTTTCTAGGACCATCTCTGTGAGGCATTGGACAGGGGACTTCAAACTCCTGGGCCTCCATTCTCTTATATATGAAATGCAGATCATAATAATTGCCACAGTGAACTGTTGTGCTTGTTGTGAAGAGCATATGGGGAGATACAAAAGTGTTTTGTAACCTGAGAAGTAGGATACACATGCCAAATACTTATTATGGTAGGTATTATGGTTGTTATATTCTTAAATCTTATATGTTAAATCCTTAAATACCAATAGATATTATGGTTGTTATATCCTTAAATCAAAGAGCTCCCATGCAAGAGAGAAGGGGATGGTGGGAGTTAAGTGGGGAAAATTACACAGATGAAATCTCTACGGTATTTCAGCTTAGACTCCCTTCCCTGAGAGATCTCATGCAGTTTCCCTATACTCTTGGAGTGAATACTGCTTTCTTGTGTCAAGAATAGAAGATGCAAGTCTTTTGTGCTAAGCTTGGGTCCTAAGTCCAGTCCTCTTTCTATGACATCACTGTGCTTTAATTTGTCAAGCACCTAATAGGATTTTGGCCCCATGCTACTTTCTGTAATCACCAGAGAGAGAAGAAATACACACATGAAACGTTTAAATAACCATGTGTGGTGACTGCATAAATAGTTCTGAGTTATAGCTGAGGTATATGGGAGGGTTAAAGTGAAATCAAATACCTTTTAATTACAATTTAAATCAATAGCCTAGAAGACCCAAGTTAAATCATTAGCCAGGAAAATCCAGTTATATTATTCTATTTCTTTAAAAAAAGGTTCTTATTTAACCCAAATAAATGCGTTTTATAAACGCATTTATAGAGGTGTTAACATTGAGTAAATGACATTCATTTAGTGCAGTGATTATTTTTTAGGTTACTTTAACCATGATGTAAAAAAAAAAAAATCAATGTGATGTGGTTGCCTTTTTCTAACTCCGAAGTTAATTAAAAAGATATCTGTACAATCGTTGGAAGCAGAACCATCCTGATTTCAACCTATTAATCAAGGATTTGAGAGGGAGGGTGTTGGGCATTTTTGCATTAGAAGACAACCACCACATCAAAAAGCTATTTAAAAATGCCTGATTTTTAAAAAATAACATCAATCTTGTATAGCCTGGGTTTTTTTTAAAAAGCAAGCATGTATTTTAACAAAACCAGTAATACTACCTTTAATTCTTAGTATGAATACACTGTATCATACTAGAAAAAGCATAGGCTTTGGACTTAGACAGATTTAGATACAAATCCCAGCTCTGCCACTTGCTACAATGTTGGTGTAATACTCATGTGTACATAAATATATATTTTTAATTAATGAAAATAAAATGCAAAGTGACCCTTACAACAGTCTGGATTATGTAGTTTATTTAGTCTTTGCCTCCCTCTTTCCTGTTTTGCTACAGATTGTGTCACTGTTGTTTTTTATTTCCAATTCCCTATATCATCATAATTTTAAATGAATTCATCCAAAAGAGGCATCCCATTCTCTGCCTGAGAAATTCTCTCTGGTGAATGTACAGATCTTTTGTGTGTCTTTTTCCTAAAAGGACCTGGGCAGATATATTCGTTCGCTCTTGGTCTTGGAACTTATTTTGTTGGCATTATGGAGAAAGGATTGCTGCATGTTCTGCAGTGTTGAGAAAAACTGAATAAAAGTGCACTGGGAAGGGTCATGACCCATTTTGACAATTCAAGCATGTGAGGATATATTTATCTTTATAAAAATAAGTTTGAAAGTAGAAGGAAAAATCACCCATAATCCTACTACTTTAACCCAACCATTATAATTTGATGTTTTCTTCTGATCATTTTCTGTAGGCATATTTTACATCATTATAATTCAAACGTACTTTATCATTTTGTATTATTTGACATTTTTTTATGGCAGCTTACTGTCTCCTTGCTGGGATTTACTATAATTTACATAATCTAGCCAAATCCTGGGGAATATGGACTGTGGAGTAGAAAGAGATGATTTTTGCAATTAGATTTTAGAAGGCTTTATACACCTGCAAAAATTTGAACCATAGAGGAGAAGACATTGAACGTTTTATGGAAAGGACGGACAGAGAGAACCACATTTTAATGAAATTTCACATACAAATGCACGCACACATATATGCATACATACACTGTCTGTTTGAAGAAGAATTTTTCTTTTTTGTATAATGCTTTATGTTTTGAAACGTGTGCGTTTCATGCTCAGCAAAGTAGTTTCCCGATCTAGATTGCCATCTCTTTGAATCCCACTGTCACATCTGCCTCTGAGTTTTCTGTGTATTCCAGAGACTCCATCAGTGTAACCTGCTTGCCTGACAGGTGGTGTCCCAAATCCAAACCATTTCTCCCCAGTAAAACGTGCCATTGTAGCTGGACAGATTTCCTCCCCTGAAAATTCGTCTGAAATCGTAGTCTTCCTGAAGGGAGCAATTAAGGAAGATAAATGAAACCCTCCCTTCCCCTCCATCCTGCCAGGTGCCCCCTTTCTTGATGGCCCCACCTCTGTCTAGACAACCGTGACAGTGTAGAAGTTTCCATCTCCTTTCCCTTTCCCTCTCCATGTTCCCTCCCCTTCAGTTTTTCCCCCCTCCCAGGCGCTTCCTGCCTGGAAACAAAAGATTGGTCCCCAGTAGCCCACTCAGGGCGATTTTAGTTTTATGCTCACCATCTGATTGGCCTAGGTACGGTGCAGAGCCCGGGTGACGTCATAGCAGAGAAGGGTTAGGGAGCGGTTGCTGAGCAGGGGCTCTACCACGGGCGGGCAGCTGTGGCAGCGAGCCGGCTGGGATCTCGCACTGGGGGCTGCAGCTTTTCCCCGCCTGGAGCCAGTGTGCGGCGGCGGGAGAAGAGCCGGGGGGAGCGGGCTGGGCCCGGGGCTGCGGCTGCGGCCGCGGGGCTGCGGCTCCCCAGCCCCGCCAGCCGGAGCGCTCCGAGGTAGAGAGGAAAGGTCTTGACAGGGTGGCTGGACCAGTGGCAGGTAAATCCCGCGACTTATTGCCCCCGGGCTAGCGCGGGGGGTGGGGGTGGCGGCTGGGAGCTGCTTTGAGGCCACTGGACAGATGTTCTGCCTTTCGCGGGCCCCCCTCCTGCTCCCGTGGCGCTCTAGCTTCGAGTCTCCTACGTGGCTCCCCCGGAGCCCTGAGACCAAGCGCGCAGTTTGCATGATCCCGGCTCGCGAACGGACAAGTGGGTGTGTCAGGGCCGTTCCCGGAGGGCCTGGGCTCCTTGGCTTGGTCAAGCCCGAGACTCGCCTACTGGGGCCTGGGCCGCTTGAGACAAAATTCGCCCTGAAAGCTACGTCAGCCTGTAAGTCTTATACCACCTTCCTGTCCCCCTCCACCCCGCCACAGTAGCGGTGACAGCGGTCCCCCAGAGAAGAGGAGGGGGTGTGGCCACGGTCTGGACAAGTCCTCCTTAGAAGCCCCCAACCTGAGCAAACAGAAAAAGTGACGATTTTCTTAAAAGGGTGCCTTTCCCTCTTTCTTTTATTTTTCTTTATCCCTCTCCCCTTTTTTGGTAGGGGGATGGTAGTGACAGGGGGATTCTTTTCTTCTCCTGTGGGGATTAGAATGATGCAATAACGTCCCTACCAAGCCTGGGGTCCTTTGGTTGGCCCTTGTCTTTGTCTGGGGAGGGGGGTCATTGGGGGCTCTGCCTCCCCTTCTTCCCTGTGCCCCTCAGCTCGCAGGGGGCATTGCCCTCAGTTTGTGAACTGGCTCCAGCAAGATGACTGCCGCACTTTTGGGTGAACTGAACATTTTAGATTCTTGCTCTGGCAGGTTTTCCTTCCCTCAGTGGCTGTTGAGGGGAGGGGTGGGGGATCAACAGGGAGGGTGGTTCTGGCAAGTAGCCGAGATCCCACTTGTTTTTTTGGTCCCACCTTCCAGAATCCAGTTCCAGATTCTGGACTTGAGGGTTCTGGGCTGTGGTCTGTAGAAGCAAAGGAGAGAAGGGTGAGTGGCTTGGTTTTGGGAAGCATGATGGGGGCGGTTCCAGTGCTATTTAAAAAAAAAAATTGGCTTTCAGCAGGGAAGCCTTTAGCCATGTTAGTCTTGCTCCCCCCATGGTTTTGCAGACTCAAATCCAGGCCAACTGTATGGCTGTCTGAGGTGTTGGAACAGAAGGAGGTCCATTCCTGTTGGTGACAACACTGTGGCCCTGTTCTGGGATGAGCGAGGTGTAAAGGTCAGTGCGGTTTTCACTGGGCCATTTGCAAAATTATAATTGGGCAAGATCTGTGATTTGGTACTTGAGACCCCCAATCAGGGGTACCTTTGGGCATAGGGGCTTAATACGGTAACAGATGATTAACAGGCTGGGACTTGGAGAGAGAGCCATTGTAAAGCACTGTTTCTGGATACAAATGTCTTACTCCCCATTCCCATGAAAGAAACTGAATGGGAAAAGACTAAGTCTAGGAGGTATGCTGGGTGAGGTCCTACAGCTGAGAATCCTGAGGCCAGAGAAACCTTGGGATGTCAAGGAACAGACCCTGAGTGGCTCCGGACAGGCAAGTGGGCCTTCTAGGAGAGACCTAATGAATAAAGGAGGTTCATGTGCAATAGGGGTATAGGTGAGGGGCCACAGCACCAGAATGTAGGGACATTCTGACTAGTTAATCATTCTCACAGGTTGAAGATTTTTCTGGTCGGCGGTGAACATGGTATATAGAGCACACAGGTTTGCTGAGGTCTTGGGGGAGGGTGGGTAGTGGTTGTGCCAGGTGAGGTAGATGAAGAATAACTGTGGGGATGGGGAGGTGCTGCCATCAGAGACTCTGCTATTATGAGATCAGAGACTAAGCTATTATGAGGTCAAAGAGGGTGGCCAAGGCAAAAAAAGATATCTACAAATCAGATGGAGTATGTAAGATCAGATGGACTAGGTATCATCAGATGGACTAGGTGAGAGCAAAGCTGTAGAGAGATAGAAGAAGAAAAGCCATGGTCATACTAGGAACCCAAAGGCCCTGATTTCCCTGGTGAGATGGAGAACTCTTGGTGGTTGAGGTAGCTATGGCTCAGCCAAGAATTAGGAAAATGATTTCTAGATATTTAGGAAATCAATAGCATCCCCACCAGTGTAACCCACCTTCAGTAGCCAGTAACTTTGGCCAAGGGAATGAGAAGAAACTTGATGAGCAGCAGCCTCCTGGATAAGAAGAGAGGACTGGGGGTCCAGGGCCTCAAAGGGAAGTGAGGAGCTAAGAATCTGGTCTAGACAGGTAGGTTGACTGCTTTTACACTGTGGGCTAGGGCCAGGTCTGGAAACCCTGCTCAAAAAACAAAACAAACAAAAAAAAAAACCTACTTCCGAGGGGCCCTTGGGACCTGGTGTGTGTGGGCCCGAACGGTGTAAATCCTCTGCCCTGGAAGGTAAGTGCAGCTGTCAAGGCATTTGGGACATAGCTTAAGCCTCAGCGGCAACCCCCTACCACCTGCCAGGGGCGGTTCCCTCTGCAGGGCCTGGGGTGGACTCTCCTGCCAACTCGGCACTACACAGCTTCTCCAGCAGGGGGCGGGAAAGGGCCTGCAGCGGCGCGCGGGACTCGAATCCTCCATTTCAGGTGTGACACTAACAGCTATACATTTAAAATCTGATTTCGGGGTACTGGAGAACCAAATGAATCTCCGGGTCTGGCAATCTGTTTCCATTTCCTCCCAGAAATGCGTCGCTTCCTACCGCGCTCCGTGGCTTTGGAAGGCATTTGCATTTGCATACGCGGTGATTATTTGAGTCACTAATATAGCCTAACCGGCAGTTTAATTGGAAATGTTAATCAATGCAATAGATCTGTGTCTGATTTGCACATTCGGTCAATTATCTGCAGGTTGGGACAATCTGCGCTGCACTCAGGGGATGCAATGAGGAGCCAAATGGTGCAGCTGGGTCTGGGGGTGGGAAACATAATGGGGAGGTGGACCTTGAAGACTGGAAATTAAAAATTCACTGATGGGGAGAGGAAATAATTCCAAAGGTGTGGTCACAGGCATGATCGCTAAGATGGAACAGGAGGGCCTTAGAATCTGCACAGTGGAGGAGAGGAAGGCTGGGGTTTTTCTGAGAGATGGGAGGGGGCTGAATTTGGAGGACGAAGTTTTTAGGGGCTGGAGCAGCAGGAGCTGGGGTGGAATGAACCCTGGGATTCAGAAGTCAGGTGTTCTGGTCTGAGCATGTCTGCCCCTCTCTGGGCCTCAGTTTCCTTGTCTTTCAAATTGGAGTTAGACTAGGTGTTCTCTAAGATGGTAGTGACATTGTAGGAAGTTAGTCCACTTATTCTTGGTCATGAAGATAGGTCCACTAAAGTACAGCTTCTCTCCCCAAAAAATCACCCCTTCTTTTTTGTATACCTTCCAGTTTGGGCAAAAACAATACAAAACAAACAACCCCACAACCACACACGTTTCATCTCTTTCAGCAATATGGCTTTACTTTTATTTTATAGAAATGGGGAACAAGAGGGAAAAAAGAAGTCCAAGTTGAGAATCTGCTAGGGACTCTAAAAAACTCTGTATGGGGGTCTTATAGGAAGGCCCCCAGCGGGACGGGTAGACAGCAGATATTCACAAGTGGCCCTTACTCCCCAACTCAGTCTCAAAACAGAGGGGCTTGAGGTGAAGGTGAAGGAAGGGCCTGGCTAGGGGTGTATATCTTTTTCCTTCCTATCCTCCCCCATCTTCCCCTGAGCCCTGGGACTTTGTGCAATTCTGCATCCTAAGGAGACACTATTCCTAACATCAGCACAATTGCGCCCTCTAGTGACCGCAATGGGGACACCTTCGACAGAGCTTCCCATGTATCCCACAGCCCAGCCTGGGTGCCAGTGCCCTTGTGCAGCTGATACTCCCTGTGAAGAAGGGTTCCAGTCCTTCCAAGCAGCCTGGCAGAGAAACTCAGGCAGCTGCTGCTTCTTGCAAGTCCTTCTCCTTCTTGCATATGGTTGGGGGTTTATAGAGGTAGTCATCCCCATTGCCCCAGTGCCCTTTCCTTCTTTGGGCCTGAGAAAGTTTCCAAAACTCCTTTCCCAGAAATCTTCCGTGCTGGGCAAGGCACTTGCAGTGGGAAGGTAGAGAGAGTAATTGTCCATAGCTTCACTCCACCCTCATCCCTGTGATGGCAGCCCTAGTCCTCAGGGATTGTGGCAGGAAGCTGAAATGCAGCAAGGTTGGGGGTTGGGGAGTGGTGGGTGTCGAGTATGTACAAGATGTGTTGCACTGATTTCTGCCACATTCTCTAACAGGAGGCTGAGCCTCCCGTGCACAACAAGGCAGTATAAGCACACAATACCTACAACATAATAAAGACACACAACATGGCATAGACATTACATAAAACAAAGTAGATACATGACACATACCACATGGTAGAGATGCAATATACATCCAACACTGTACGGGCACATAGTACACACATAATAGCGTACTGACATAATCATGTATGCAACATGATATAAACACAACACTGCACAAACACCCAACATGATACAGACTCAATATACACACATGGTGTGGCATAGCACACACACATACAACATGGCACAGGGAGCAGCACAGAGATACATGACCCAGAATATGCGTGTGCTCACACACACTCAACACAGCGCTTCCCCAGGCAGGCAAGAGGAGTGTGGCTACCAGGAGTAGTTCAATGCCCTCCCAGTTGCTTTTGCATTGGCTCAAGCTGGACAAGTGGTGAGTTCAAGACAGGCTGCCATAGAGTTAGTGAACAGTGCTACAGTTAGGGCGGCCGTGGGGAGGTGGAGGTAGGCTTAAGAAAAGCTCTTGGTCTTGCTCAAAAACATGGGGGTTCTTGGTTAATACAGGCTAGTGGTGCCCCCTCCTCTTCCCACCTCCTCCAGCACAGTTTCCCACCCTAAAGAGCAGATACGGCCTCCTCCACCAGCCCTCAGCCCCAGGGACGGGCAGGGGGCTTCTTGAGGCCATTCTTCTCTGTGATCTCCTCAAGCCCCACCCCTCTCTGGAGCTTTGGCAGCCTTCCCTCCTCCCCACAGCCCTCTTGCAGGGTGAGCTCATGCAGCGAGGGAGGGGGCGGGTACACCTCTCAGTGGCGCAGTGGGTGGGATTTGGAAAGGCTGCTTGGAGTATGCGTGTGGGAAGCACACAGGGAATGCCAGGGACGCTGGGGGACAGACTGCTCTGGAGTCTTGCCCAGGAACAAGAGGCAGACTCAGAGTATGGCATGGCCTTTTTATATGAGAACGGGGAATTGGGGATCATGTGGCTTTCCCTGGCTCTCTTAGCCTTCAGTTTTGCCATCGCGCCACTTTTAGATATTCATCTATGTCTTTGGATTAGGACCCCGTTCATTCTGGTATCCTCAAATGGATGCTAGCCTGAATCATGTTCTTTTGGGAATTAGTATATAGCTGCTGCTTTTCTTTGAGAACAAACACTGTTGAGGGAAGGGGAGTAGGAAGCCGAATAGGAACGATTGCAGAGCGTGGGGTTCTATAAAGGGGAAGATCAGCCTCTCCCTTGAGAGGCTCAATTGATTGTGAGAAAAGGCAGAGAAGGGAGGGGTTAAAGAGACCCTGTCTCCTCCATGGTTAGACAGGGAAACCTGTGTAGGGAGGATGGGATCAATTATCACCGAAGCAACAACAGCCACAGCAAATAGTATACATCCACCCTAAGAAACCTGGGGAAGACATGCACATGGTGGAGATAGGAGGGTAGAGGAAAGTTCTCATTAAGATCAGAGGCTGAGGCCCTCAGCAGCTGTGAGATGTTAGCAAAGTAGGGGACTGCAGAATGCTATTGCCTGAGAGACAGACTTTTTTTTAATTCCTTTTCTGATGAAAGAGGTTGGTGGGAAGGGGAATGGAAGTGGAGGCGGAAGCCTGGACTCAAGGGATGAAATGAACTGAATAGCGGTGCCAAGTTGTCAGGAAGTGCAGATATTCCCGGAGCCAACCTGCACTGGCCATCATCTCTTCATTTTTTTGTATTATCCACTAGACTCTACCACTTCCTGTAATTATGCAAATGTCTTCATAATTATGCAAACTATGTAAATATTTCACATCTGTCTTATTTGATTTAGTTCTCCTAACACTTGACCAAGGCAACTAGGACAGGTCTTTTCCACTTGACAGCAAGCAGTCCCAGAGTGGTGAAGTGACTAACAGTAGTTACCTTGTAACTCCCATCTCCTACCTCCCACTTCCATGCCCTGTCTGGAATCCTATGTGACAATGCTTTTTTACACTTCTTGCCTCTCAGATTCTCTAGCTGCCTTAAGGGATTTTCTGAAATTCACTGTAGAGTGTGTGTGTGCGTGTGTGTATGTGTGTGTGTGTGTGTGTGTGTGTGTGTGTGAGAGAGAGAGAGAGAGAGATGTTTGGGGGGGCTGGATGAGGGAGTAGTAGCAGGTGGGGAAAGAGGTTCCCTCTCCCCCACAATGCTTCTCTCGGCAGGTTGCCCCCAAGAAAGAGCAGCTGAGTCCTTGCATCTTGTGGCATCTGGTGTGCCCAGCACTGAATCCGTCGGAGCTGAAGCCAGCCCGGCCCCTTCTCATGGGCAGCACCCACCTGTGCTGAGGTCCTGCAGCGGTGGCAGTGTGAGGTGAGTAATGGATTCCAAGGCAGGGAGTTAGGGATCTCCAAATCCAGGTAAATGCTGCCTTTCCACCAGTGCTCCTGATATCAAAGACCCTGCTTGGGCCTCACCAGCTAGGCTTCAGGGCATGACCCCTGCTTTCTGGGAGATCTTGTCTCATACAGCTACCCTTGGTCTCTTGGTTCCCTCATCTCTAACATGGGAATGACAGCCTTGACCTACATTTTGGGGTGAGGAGGAGAAACAACATAATAATCATTGCCAAGTCTTTTGCAAATGTCAAGCACCATCTACAAACTTCAGTGTAACACAGACATGCTTCCCATCAAGCTGACATTTCCTTTTCTCCTCCTTTCCTGATGTCTAAGTGGCATTTCAGCCACATGCTGCAAATTTGCCTGTCAGTTCCTGTGATTTCTACTGCCCTATAACCTTAATTTTACCTTCCTATTCAAAGTGTACTCCCACTCCATCCATCCCTGCTTCTGGGCCTGGCAGAGTAAGCTTAAACCTTCCTGAACCTTCCCTCTGACTTCCCACCCAACCAATGTGCACTTCCTCCCCCAGCTCTCCAACAACACTTGAGTTTGTAGCATGCAGTGTAGCACTTGTTTCTCTACTGCCTTAAATAATTCTCGCATGGTTTCTGGAGTCTTTGTCTTAGCAGGTAAACTAGATTGTAAGCTCTTCAAGGGCAGGGACTAGATTTTACAGGTCTCTTGTCTCCCTTAAAAGTGCCTGACACTTCCATGGCAGCTTTGCAAGTTGAGCCCCTCTCTCTTCTCTACACTTCTTTCAGGTTTACTCAGCCTGCCTCTCTGATCATCCACCTGTCTTTTTGTCTGCCTCTCAGGCAGTCGCTATAGTTTCTTCTGTTAGCTTCACCATCTGGCTTTTTGTTGCTATTCCCTGCAGTCCAGCTACCTGTTTGTAGCTTGCTGTCCCTCTGTCTCTCTGTCTGGTCCTTTGTCTCTTTGTTGGCTACTTGTAAGGCATCTCTCCTATTGCCCAAGTCAAAAAGCAGCCAACCAAAATTAAAAAAAAAAAAAGAAAGAAAGAAAGAAACAGCCAACCAGAAACAAACTAGACAAAAAAAAGCAAGAAATAAGCAATATGATTCCCTTTCACACTGAGCATACATTGGGCCTACAGGACAAGGTAAACTGCAGCTCAGCGGCAGGTGTTTCTGTGATGCCTTCTCCTGAAAGGGAAGCTCCAGAGTTTCAGCCGTGGAATTGAAGGTATGAAATTACAGCCTTGTTGATACTGATGCATTCAACTTTCTAGCGATGTTCTGGTAGGGGATCCTCTATAGATCTTGACGGACAGAAGGTAACTAGAACTGCCTAAAATACGAAGCAAGCTCCTGGATCTCTCCTAGGTGTTCTATGACAGCTACAATAATAACTTTTATTTATTGATCGTCTACTGTTGCTAGCTCTATGCTAGGCACTTTATCTGCATACTACCATTTGCTCCTACAGTAACCCTGCAAGGTAGGTATTTTTGCTAATAGTTATTTATGTTTCTGATTATACAAGTGATACTAGCTCAAGTTAGGTATTATTATTATTGTCGTTTTACTAACAAAGGTGATAGAGGTTGAAAGGGGCTAAGTAACTTGCCTCTGACTGGAGACATGCTGTGGCTTTGGGAAGAAAGATACTTTCTAGAGAAGGTTTCCCAGCATGCCAAATTGTTTTGATACCCTCTAGTGTTCACACACACATACACACACCCTCACAAGCACACTCATGTAGTCTCATACAGTCCCACAGTTACTCCCAGACTCCCACTTACTTTTAACACTGGACTCATTTGTAGTGACAGTCACTCTTACCCCCTTGCCCTCACACATAGTCCTATTTACAGATACACTTGCATTCAAGCACATTCACACTGTCACACACTCGCATTCATATATTCATGTCTTCATGTTGACACACAGTCACGCTTACCACACACTCCTTCCTCACGTTCACGCCCACTCACGCCTTTGTGCTATTTATTTCATTCTCACACACTCACAGTCACATACTTTCACACTCACTCACATTCACACGATGATACAGTCAGTCACCCTTACGTGTTCAAATTCCTGTATAATCACACAAACTCTATTCACAAATACACACTGATTTCCCCCTAGCCACACTCAAACTCTTTCTCATACTCACAGCCATACACACACTCAATTTCATAACTCCAAGATGCTTGCACTGATAGCATTATTTCCTCCTCATAGTCACGTATAACACTCATCACAGGGACATAAACGTGCATATATGCTAATATATTCACATTTGTGTGTTCTCACACCGTAGTGCCATCTCGCCCACTTGCACTCTTACACTCAGAATTACACACTTTTGCACGCATATACATGGTGCTGAAACCATGCCCCTACCCCGGCACATCCACACATAGTCACATTCACACATGGAGACACACATTTTGACACACATTCACACTCACACACTCACCTACTTCACACTGAGGCATAATCACCTTTTATACCAAACTCGCAGGTACACACACTGAAATATAACCATATATAAACATTTTCATAAATTCAGCCATTTTCACTAACAATCATCACTCTACCTTCTCACACTTATACATAATCACTTAGGTGTATTCACATTGACACATTGACACATATGCTCATTTACATTCAGTACTCATACAAATTCACATTAGCATACAGTCACACTTCACACATGCTTATATTCTCACATATTCAAATGCTCTCACATACTCAAAATTATGTACTCCTGCTCATTCCCACAGATGCACAGCCACACTATCCCACACTCATGTACATGCACATGTATACCCTCTCACACACCATCTCCCACTCATACATCACACATTTTCACGATGGCAGAATCACACTTACCACACAATTCACATTCTTACACATTTCTACTCCCCTACTCTCATACTGATACATCCTCACTCACATTGCTCGTATTGCTATATACAGTCACACTATTGCACATGTAATGACACTCATAGTCACTGATCTGCATTTTCACTGGCACACACTGCACACAATTCACTAATTCATTGCAATAGTCAATTCGCATAGATACCTGCATGTACTCATAGGCAATTATTGATACTACACATGGCCACATAGACTTACACACTCATCCTGCTACACCCTTACTTACATTGATATGTATAAAGATAGGCTTAACTAACACTGACTCACATGTCTATACAGTCACACACTCTCCTGTAAACACCATATACTTTTACTCAGACTCTCACATGGACACATTAACACTGACACATATTCACATTGATACTGACCAATATTCCATTACTGACATAATCACATTGACCCACATCTATGCACATTGAGTCACATATACTGATAGTGACCCACACTCTCATGCATGTCCTTATAATACTTTCTCAAACTCTTACTATGCCCCCCATACTGAGATTATGATATTGTGACATTTACACACTTTCTCATTGACACATACACTATGATACCCCCAATTTCAGGCAGTAGTTTATATTCATAGTTACCATTCTTTTTTCTTTCTCTTTGCCACTAGTGCTCTCTTCATCTTTGCTAAAAGTTTTTTAGGCAACCAGTGGCCAAAAGAAGAATGTTGGTCTTATCCAGGGTGCCAATGCAAAATAGATCCTTCCAGAGCAGAAAGGAGCAGAATTTATGACTAAGATTAAAAGGCAAAGCTCAAACCCACAGATCAAGTTTTCTATCCTTCCCACATAGTTTCTTTAACAATGAGCGTCTCTGATAGAGCCTTAGCCAGTCCTGTCCAACGGAGATTGGAGTTTAGATGGTGTGTTTGTTTTCTGAAAGTTTATGGCTTACCTTGACATGCCATTTCTCTCCCAGGATGGGGAGAAGGTGAAGAATGTGTTTCTTTATGCATTCTTAATGGTTTCCTATGCAAAATACATGTCTCCAGTGGAATTGCCTGCTGATTACACACATGGAAAGGGCAGGACTGCTTCCGCCAGGCACCTCTAATGTATCCAGGTATACTTAATACCCTGTTAACCCTGGACCCTGGCATTCAAGAAAAGCAAAGAGAAGGTTCATGAACTAGCTGGATGGTAAAGTAAATTTTTACTATGAGTGTGCATGTGCGTACATAGACCCCACTGAAATTTCAACAGCTGTTACTAACAAGTTACCAGAGGAGATTTCTCAGTAGGCGTGGATACAGATAAGCTGAAGGAAGTCCTTTGCACCCCATACAAACTGTAGGTTTTCCTGCAAGTGGGTAAAAAGAAACACAAACCCAGTAGTGAACCAGTGGATTACAAGCCTTATAATAGAGCCATTTGCCACCAGTGATTTTGAAACACAAGATCACCTTGTAAGAATCTCTCTAGTATGTGACTTCTTTTGCTGGAGTCTCCCTGGAGCAAAAATGAGTGCAAAATATGCCCATGCTGTCATTTGATATGGGTTCTGGCATGCTATTGGGAACAGCCTGATATGAAACATCACTCATCCTCCCTCTTACCCCTGCCACCTTCCAGTAGATTGAGAACTTCTATATCGTCTTGCTCATTTTGGGTTCCTGATGCCTAGCACAATGCTAGGTTCAGAGCAGCTACTTGTGAGACTCAATTAAGAAACTAAAAGGAGTAGATGGGTAGCAACAAGTTATCAGTACAAATCCAGTGTCTCTCTTCTTCTCTTCCTCAATCCAAGAATTTCAGTGGCATTACTGGCTCAGACTGGGGATTATCTATGGGCCGCACATAGTGGTAGGCCCAGAGAGAGATTCAAATGGGTGAAAGACACAATACTCTTCCCTTGATGTACTAACATCTGTGTGGAAATGATAAAGTTCCCATCAACAGTAGTGCAAATCTTGAAGCTTGTGCTCGGAGGGGTCTTTATCATGAAATTCAGTGGTCTTCAAGCTCCAAAGGCCTTGAAGACCCATAAGTGGTTGGGGACACCAATCAGAATTTAGGGAAGCCACTTTCCAAAGTAAACCTCCTCATAGATGTCTTGTTCAGCACAGAGCTGTGCCATCTCCCCAGAAGACTGTGTCATAGAGCACTTTGTCACACTGGGCCTAAGGTAGAGGAAGAAAAGTGAGCTATAGACCTTAATGGAAATATTGTACTTAATTAACATCTAGTCACCACCTCCTTCAGGAGAAGGCTAATGCCACCTTCATTTGCTGGCAATTTTACATTTGACAGTTTTTTGCTGATACCTCAAGATTCACCAAAGGTAATTTCTATAATATACAGTACTGGCTGAATATTAGGAATGGAAAAATGCACTTAACTGAATTTATTTGACTTTAGTGAGAAGCACTGAGAAGACTCACTCCCTTGCATTTATGTGATATTTTACACCTTTCAAAATATTTAATAACCCATTCTTCCATTATGATAGAGGTGTTAGGAGCAACAACTCTGGAGCCAGGCAGACTAACATTTGAATCCCAGTTTGGCCAGTTCCTAGCTGGGTAACCTTGTTTGAGTAATTACTTATCCCTCTTAAGCCTCAGTGTTCCAATCTGTAAAATGGGAGTGACACTAATGTCATCTACCTCATGGAATTGTTAGGAGGATGAAATGAGATAATATATGAAAATGCTAAGCACAATGTCTGGCTTATAGTAAATGTTCAACCAATGACGAGTCTTATTATCTTTACCCACAGCCATTTGGGGTAGGTGCCTTCAAAGGGACAGATCCCTGAGATAATAGAAACAGTATGGTTCTTTGTAGCCAAAGACCTGATTTTCACAGGACTTTTTGCCTCTTTTCCTTTAAGTCTTTATTTCTGCTTAGCCACAAGCTAGGTGTCAGTGCTCATTCCCACTCAAGAAGATGAGTGAAAAACAGGCTTAATCCATGGAAAGTTTCCTCAATTCCTATGTCACTTTAGGATATGTTTATCTTGCCACTACAACTATGTTTCTTGTTCCTTTAGATGTTTCCTCTAGTCCTACAACTTCCCCCCTTTCTGAAATCAGAGAAGCCATCAGCGATGCCGCCTTCATTTGCTGGTACAAAGCTTATAGGAGTAGTGGGTGGAAGCGACTCCTAATGCAGGTGGAACCAGAACTTGGCTTTTTAATCATAGGCAGTCATCTGCCCTTGATTTTAATGTTGAAATGTTCACTTTGTGGGTAGAGGGTCTGCCCATGTCTAGGCTTTGATCACAAGCACCACAGTGGAGGCACAGTTCACTTACTCCAAAGCCCTAAAAACATTTGTG